TCTGTCAGCTAAGGTGGATTCAGATATATCCCCTTAGACAAACACCAACCCAGGTCCACAAGGTATTCTTGGACGAAGCAACACATGGTTGCCGACAAGGTGCCTTCTATCAGGTTGGATCGACTACCTCCTCTGACTAAGTAGACCAGGGATCATGACAGCCCGGGACGACGGAACCATGGGATCTTGATCGGGCTCGTCTTCATTCCCCCACCACCAGTTTTAAGTTTGTGGTGATAAACTTTAGATTTCAAATTATCCAAATTCAAGATTTAAACCCTAGAATTATTGCTATTATATGATAGGTTTATAACCTATTCGACCCTTTTAATGACTAGCCTTAATCGAAAGTTCTCTTCTGTTATCAGGAGGGGTAATTAACTATAGGGGCTTGCGCCTATAGGAAACCAGAACTCAGATAAAAAAGTCCTCACCAAATGAGGGCGAAATCTCTAGGTAGTGTCTTATCTAAAACCCAATCTGCCTTCTGAAAATTCCCCCGGAATCTAATCTAGTTAAAACTCTCTGTTGTCGTCGTCATACAAACGCTTAAAAGAAAAATAGACGAATGACGTGGAGAGGCCGGGATCACACAATCCAAAATGGAATTTTTCGGAGCCCACACAATTGTGCTCTATGTTCACAGGGATGCTGGTGAGCTTGAGTAATTCATTCAATATCCAAGGTTACTAATTATGAAAGCATAACAAAAGGAGCCTTCTCATAATTCAAGGTAGCATGCACGGCTACATATTTGAAGTATTTCAATTCCAACATATCTTTTTGGAGCTGGAAAACAAAGCTTTGTAGTGGCTTGCCTGGCTTCGGGCCCATTATTAAGAAAGCTTGCAAGTTTTTTGAGGGCTTCAAGACACTTTCAAACTGAGTAACAAATATTCTCTTGAATTATACAAATGAGGTGATGGCGCTTAATGGAAAATGACTAAACCACCAAAGGTACATACCTTGAAGGTGGTGAGGAATAATCGACATTTTAAGGCGCCATCAATGTCAAGCAAAGATGTCGCAAACTCAAAATACATGATGTGCTCAACGGAGTTGATTCTCCTCCAGTAGGATTCCAAGTTGGGCTTCTTGAACTTTGAAAGTGGCCTTACTTCAGCTATCTCTCTGGGTAGTGTGTTGGTCTGCTCAAGTTCTCTTCTTTATACTGTCAAGGAGGATAGTACTATTCGTCACTTGTGTGACAACTAGTAGGGTCAATATTGGATATAGTGGTAAGCACCCTAGTCTTCAACCTTCTATGTAGAACTATCGAGTCAAAGAAACCATTGAGTTCAATTTCTCTTGGAGCATTCCTCTAAAATCCTCCTAGAACATCTTGAATCATTTAGGTGAGTCTTTTTTCATCTGCCCAAGGTTACAACAAGTGGTAAAGGTCAGGTTCTATATGTTCACTAATGGCTCAGGGTTATGTTGTTCTTCGAGATGTGCCTATCTTCTAGTCATAGGCATAAATCAACGCTCACAGGACCATTAAAGATGTTGAATCTAAATTAATTCGTTGATAATGCGTAGGCAGAACGAGTATACACTACACACATGCATAAGAAAAACCATCTAAATGAACTACTAAATAGATTGGCACATTACACTTGTTGTAAAAGCACTAATATTGTATAACAAACAGCATACATTTCAAGTGATTAAATGATTGATGGCCAAATGACTTATGGAGCCATATGAAAATGAGAGAAATATATACCACCCGGTGGCCTCTTCTCTTTGGAAAATTTTTCAAGAGAATCCCAGTCCCTCACTGTAGCCAGTGCAAAGGCTTTGAGCCAGTACCACCTCTTGTCAGAAACCTGCAAAAAAGATTTCTTCCAGATTTGGTATGACAAAGAAAAATGGCATATTGATGTTTCAAATTTCAAGCAACTAGATGCCTGTCACCTTGAATTCTGTTCTCACTCTCAGAGCAGCTCTATGGTTCCCCAGTACAATGCATGTACGAATTGTATCACTGATGCTTGAACCAACAAATATAGACTGTTTTGTAGAGACTTCAAGCTCATGTTGTAACCTGTGAGCAAAATTTGTTAAGGAATTTTTAACAGCTCCAGGATGACTCGCTTAAGTTTTTAACAGTTGTTGCAAACCAATTTGATTTATATAGAAACAATCCAGCTGAATCAATTAGTTTGAGACAATTCATTGCCCTCATACAAATTAGATGAGCGGGACTATCATACAAGGAGTTTAAAATTGGTATTTACAATGAAAGGCACCATAATCAAAATAAATCATTGGTGGCATACATCAAACAATAGGCAGGTTATACAACGTATATTCAAAAATCCTAACTCCTTATAGGCGCTCCTGTAAAATTAAAACACAGCCACAAACATCCAATCACACAAACGTCTCATAGACTCTAAGGGGCTGTTTAGCAACAAGTAGGATTTAATCATTTAACTTTAGTAAGATTTAGTAATCCAGATTTACTAAATCCTACTAAAGTTAAATCCTGAAAATTGTTTGGCAAGACGAGTAATAAATCCTATGGAACCACTTGGCAATGTAATTTTGGATTTAAGACAGTTAGTTTATTAAAAGCTTAAATTCAATTTACATATATAATACAAGTTGCCTATTCATTTTAATTTAAATTACCGTTAATAAATTACAACTATAAATAATATAATCAGAAACTAGTTTAACTATTAAATAATTTAATAATATAATTATTATTTAGAAGATTAATTATAACATAGAGATATTAATTAGCTTAATAATCTAATTTTTATTATAAATATTAATAACTTTACTAATTATATAACTACTATTATATTATGAATAGCTATCTAATTATTATTTAGAATATTAATTATTTAATTTTTATTTAATTATTATTTATATCATTAATTACCTTTTTATTTTTTAATGTATATTAATTAATTACTTAAAAATAATTCCTAACGATTTGCACCTTTCTTCTATTCTGCATTATTCATTGTTGTTAAACTATGAACTTCGAGTGAGCCAGGGTTTTAAACAAGTTGCTAAAATCTTTTTTGCTCCTTCAACGGCGTTCCTTCCTGTCGAATCGGAAGTTGCGAAATTTGGTAGTTTTTCCTGTTGGATCAAGCATAGTGACGAGAGCTTGCTCGCTGCAAAAGTAACTATCATTCTCCCTTTCGTGCACTTCTTCAGCCAAATCTCATAAATCCGTCAAACTCCAGCAATTAGGAAATCCAAGATTTATGAAAAAAGAGGGGACAGAGGATTTATTCCACCGTGAGATCTATCAGCTGCTTAAAACTTGTTTGGCAGGATTTAGCATAAATCCTACTCAAATCCTGCATAAGCCCTATTGTGAAACAATCCTTGTGTCAACTTCTTCCCTCTTTCTATTCTAGATTCATCTCTTCCATCCATTCAGTTTCTGATCCACTTGATTTATCATTGTGCTTTTTGTTTTCTCATCCAACCATCCTAGCCTTAGGCTTCATTTGGGATAGCTCTCTTATTACTTTGATTTCCAAACCTTAACCTGTGGGATCCAAAAATTTGCACCATGACCTCCCCTCTACTTTCGAGGGAGTTTTATCGGATTAAGTTCTGGAAAAAATTTTGGGGAAATAGATTAGGATTGTAGATAATATACTACCCAAAGATTTCACCCTCATTTTGAGGGGACTTTATGATGAGTTCTAGTTTCCTATATGCACAAGCCCCTATAGTTAATCATCCCTCTCGATAACGAGAGAGAACTTTCGATTAAGGCTAGTCATCAATCAAATACGTAGAAATGCGTGATATCTGGCATATAGTAGCAGCATGAGAAAAAATTGCTGAAAGTTTAATATTTAAAATTGAACATTTCACCATCTTGTACTTAAAGCGGATGGTAGGGGAATGGATGATGGATCCGATCAAGATCCCATGGTTCCATCATCCTGGGTCATCCTGGTCCATGGTCTACTTAGTTAAAGAAGGTAGTCGACCCAACCTGACAAAAGGATCCTTGTTGGCAGCCATGGGTTGCTTTATCCAAGGGTACCTTATAGACTTGGAGTGTATGTTTGTCTAAGGGGATAAATTTGACTCCACCTTAGCTAGCAGAGGGTTTTGTGCCTTATTGATTATATCATATTGATTCATATCTCAATAATTTAGTGCCGTTGGGTAGCATCCGGGTTCTGGCAATGATCGTAATTTAGTTGTGTCATTTTGTGGCAAAAGCACCCCGTTCAGAGAGCCCCGGTCATAACCGTTGACCTGCGGTGCCATTTGGCGGCAAAACCACTGGTTAAAAGACACATGCCATATTCTTACTGGTAAGAGATGATTTGAGAATGAATCCTAGTGATATTCTCGATCAAACACTAGCTCTTTGTGAGTTGAAATGTATTTTCAAATTTATCAACCTTAGTAAATTATAACGGATGATGAATGAGTTTTGCTTTAAGCATTTGTTAGATTATTTATATTTTCAACATTTAGATTTGATATTTTTAAGAGTTTTTTGAATTTTTTAGGTATTTGGGTGGAATTTTGAATGATTGTGAATTAACAATTTCGGTTGAAATTTTCTGTCAACACGACTATCATTGGGGTGATTAGGGCATTTTCATTTGTTGATTGAATCTTGTCAACTTTGTCTACTTGCCGATAGAGGAATGGGTTCGTCGTTGGCTGCATGCTTTTATTAGTGGATTTCTCTTGTTATCGACATTGAAGGCCATTAACGTATAAAACAAATATCTCGACCGATACCACGACCGTATATTTGTTTGATGGTTTGAGTCATGTCAACTCCTATCTACCCGCATAGAAGGATCAGGTTCGAACTTGGATTTATTATTTGACCCGCACAGCATCCCTAGACGTCACGTGTACCTGTAACACACTCATCGGGGCCCATGCAAGTATATATTCTTGGAAATGCACTTTCCCATTCGTGTGTATACACGTTGTAGTGCATGTGTGGGAGCATTTTTGGAATATTTGACGGGTCTTTTGTGGTAGCTCGTAGGCATTTACATTTGTTGTAGTCATTTGGTATTTTGTTCGTATATGGCATTTTGCATATATAGTGAATCTCCTACAACCCCACAAACATTTGCATTCATTGCCCAGATGGTTGTTGATCGATCATCTTTTGCTTACAAGGGATCTATGTATATACCTCCCCTAGATGGTTGTTGACTTATTACAACATTCTATGCTGTCATTTGTATCTACAAGACATCTAGTGTCAGTTGTAGATGAATCATTGCTTTCACATTTTAACCACCGTCATTGCTTATAAGTAGGCTGATGTGTTCAATATGCTTTATGTAAGAAGTTGTTAGATCCCTATGCCTTACTCGTGAGTGTACCCCTCATGTGCGATTCATTATATGTGCAAATATCTTTTGTTGTTATCAATAGGTGTTAGCACTTGCCACATATTGCACTATGTGTGTGCGAGAGGCTACATTGCATACAAGTGAATTGATGCATTTATTGCACATTGATCCTTAGCATTTGTAGGAAACTACCACATGCTTATAAGCTTGCTACATAAAGTATTATTATTTGTAGTTAAATTAGCATACTTGATTAGAATTCAATAACATTGATTGTGCATAGACCTCATTCACTCCGAACTCATGGAATGCATCAAACCGTCATGTTCATTGCATGTCATATTTCATTGTTTGAAGAGGGAAAATGATTATAGATCTTGTGCTATCGCTTGTGAGCTTATCCTCATATTTTTCATTCTGATCTTTACTTACAAGCAGTTTGCCCTTGGGGTTCTTTATCTACTATAGATTCTTGCATGTTTGATTGCAATAATATCCTTTGTTGATGCATTTTCTGTATGTTGAATTATTGCTGATGATCAAGACACTATTGCACTTCTCCATGTTTATTCATTTTGTTGATCTATTGGATTGTTGATACTTTCTTTCCATCAAGTAAGTTACATGTCAAACTCTTCTGGTTGTAGTTGATTACATGATTGATATAGATGTCACTTGCTCTCATTCACAGGTTGACTCGGCTGAACACTTTGAGCCTTTTTTTTTTTCATCGTTCATCACTTGCATGCGTTGAGAGTTCATTCATCATGAATCTTATTTGATTGCTGACATCCATTCGATTGCATTTACTTGCATATTGTCTTCATGTTCATATAAGGCCCTTAAGTTCATTTATAGGTTGATAAGCACATTGTATTCACTTGTATGCATCTTGTTGTTATTAACAAAGGATCGACAAGTCTCTCATAGTTGCTTTGCAAGGGATCGATATGCTTGCCTACACATCAACTTGCATTGACTTTAGGAGGGCCACATCCTATTTAAAGCTTAACATCTCTTTGGTAGATTAGCATACTCATCGAAAATTCTTCCTTCACGTTGCTCATGAGCCACTTGATCTTTTTTACAAATGACATGTTGTATGCATATATGTATACATAGGGAACTGGTCATCATTGCAATAAATCGACGAGTGAGTTATACCCATCACCAGTTCCTTCATACATATTGATTTATGAATGATTGTGTTTGCCATCTAACTTTGTTATCACATTGATCAGTGAATTGTTGCATTTGCTTGTGCATCAATTTTCAGTGTTCGTTCTTGCACATTTCATGTTTGAAAGTTTGCCCATTGCAAGTTCTTATATACATGCTCGTCGGAGAATGGTCACATTCATTGCATGCTCCTTGTAGTAACTCGTAGGCGGACTATTGTACACGTTACAAATTCTATATTCATTCATTTTGCATATTAACTTTTGCATTCATACGAGACCAATGTGTATGATTGCATATTGCTAAGCACTAACTGTAGGAATACCACTACATTTGTTGTACGCTTCCCACACTTTGTCCTCAAGCATATCATGTAGGATGCTTTATCATTCGTAGGCAAGTTAGCATGCTCGTCTATATTTTGACTTATAGGCACCTATTGCACTTATCTATAAGCTAGCTTGTCATTGATTATCTATGATGCACCGACACTTCTCCTCAAAGAGGCGTGCAGTGTCCGACACCGTGTCCGACACGACACTCGTCCGAC